GCGGAAGCCTGTGCACCCTGTGCAGGAGGCTCACAGGGAAGGGTCCACAGCAATGCCATGAGCCGGAGCAAGCGCTGCATGTTGTTACGTTAGCGTCAGGGAGACGGAGCCGAGGACGCTCACAATGACAGCTTCAAAACCAGCCAAAGTCGACTTTGGATATGGATCCTTCTTCAAGCATCACAAAAAGGACAACAAAATACGACCCTGCAGATACCGACTTCCTTCCGGCTTCATCATTTTCCCTCTGGCTCCCTTTCCCAGTGACGTCAGAGATAGAAAAGGGATACGAAGCATCAGGGGGTAAGCTGGGGTAGTGTGAAACCAGAATCTAAGTCTCCACCTGGGCTTGGAATGGAGAAGAATCAAGAACTTAAGTCACCAGGGGAAGCTGGTGGAATTGACCCCAGGCAGGCACAGTCGGCAAATCCAGATTAGTGGGGCCAACTTGCTCTGTGGACTTTACTGCCCTTTTAACTCTGAGCCAGCCTCCAACACACTAGTAGCTGTGGTAAGGCCAGGGCCCAGGCTGAGGAGACAGTCAACATAAAGGGCAAAGGTCATGTTTGTTAGCTTCCCACTTCCCCTTTAGGGTCTCCTTTTCCCTCTAAGACACTGTCTTTCCCAGTGCTGGCTGTAACTCTATTCTTTATAAAATGTTACTTGAGAAAGTGTTTTTGATTTCATGTTTTTAAGACAAAGTTTCTCCATGTAGCCCTGTCTGTCTTGGAACTCACTCTATAGACCAGGCTGGCCTCAAACTCGGAGACACCACCCCCCACCTCTGCCTCCTGAGATTTTGGAATAAAGGTGTGCATTATTATGCCAGGCGACTGGAGAAGTTCTAGTTCTAGGTGCTGAGGATGGGCCAGTTTCCAGGGATCCCCCCCCAGGGGTTGGCCCTAATAATTCCGTCTTCTTAGCTATCCGATTCTGAGGATTTTCACTTACTTTATTAAAAAGTGGTGTGTTTGGCGCTGGACAGGTATCTCAACAGAAGGCTTGCTGCTGCTCTAGATGGTCTGAATTCAGTTTCTAGGACCTCTGCCAGGCAGTTCTAACATCTTCTCCTGGCCTCTGAGGACACAGTACATGCATGACCCATAGGCACATAGACATCCATGTGTTGTGCTCTTTTAAAAACTATTTATGTTTCTTATATCTCTTACTCCCTTCACCAGCCCAAGCCCTTCCAACACCCCAGTGCTGGGTAGGAGAGAAAGGAAGTTAGTTCTCTTTACTTTTTGCTGGTTGGGGTCCTTGGGTTCCTTGTGGAAAGCCCAGTCTTTGTTTCAGGATATCTCCATCTTCTTCTCATCAAACTGTATCAACAGCAATCAGGAATAGCACGGGGTGTGTGTGGGGGGGGAGGGAACACCGGCAGCCTTCTTTCTCAGAGCCCCCAACACTCTAGCTCTGGCCTTTATTCCTTCTCCGAGTCCTCAGATTTAAACTATCTGCAGCTGGCAAAGGGTCATTCTCAGAGCCTACACCAGGCAAATAGCTTGCTGCTTTGGACAATCTGAATCAGTCCCATCTCCTACACCTGGGATTAAAACAAACAAACAAAAAAATCCACACTTCCTCCTTTCTGTTAAAGAAAATGGCTTTTCCCCCCTAATATAATGAGACTTGCTGCTGCAAGTCTTGCTTGAGCCTTGAGCTAGGACTCCAAAGCTGCTTCCTAAGAGTTACCTCATATGTCTCTCTTGGACCGGTCAGATGACCCCTTTTATCACAGTGTCTGCAAACTACGGTTCTTACCGAGAACCTAGCGCTACCAGAACCAGCTCATCCATTTCTCTGGCACATGCAGAACGAAAATAACTCTTAAAGAAGTGCTATATTTACATATAACCCATCACATCTGCCCACAGACTTTCTATCTCTGGATTACTTGCATAACCAGCACGGTGAAATGCTGTGCAAATAACTACTGTTTAGGGAGGGGCAAGAAGAAAGGCTTCACGTATTTAGTGCAGACACAAAATGTTTTTCTGAACATTTTAGGTCCTCAGCTGAATCCACAGACGTGGGGCCAATCACACATGCTTTAAAATAGTGGTAGAAGGGACCCGAGCAATCAGGATAGAACAGCCATATGTGAACTCCCAACTCCTGCCAGAGCTGCAAATTAATCATTTTGCCCTACTTGTGCACAAGGTTCAGAGCACACGTTCCTGTGTGAGAGAGGAGTCTTTGCTACATACAGCTCATTTCATGAACACATCACATCACTTGGGAGCTTGCAAGAATGTAAACCTCAAGCCCTTTGAGTCAGTTTTCACTTTCATATAGATCTGCAAGTAATTATGTGGACAGCTAAGTTTGAGGGGGACTGATTTAGTCAAGGGGTCTTCAAGTTATGGGCTGTTGCCCATCCATAAGTCCTGATGACAACTCAGGGGTGTGACCCGAATTCAAAGCAATTGTGTAGAGAAATCTCGAGAATGTAGTCTATACAGTAAGAGTAAACATTGTGAAATGTTTGCTTCAATTATGTGAGTATGTGTTGGCGCATTGTGTAAACCATGCTTTCTCAGTGGGTTGGGCTCAGAAGCATTGGAAAACCACTGAAGTTCTGATCTGGCTGGTCACTCCACAAGGCCTTCTGCATTGCACCCTGTCATCAAGTTTACTTACCAGACCGCTGCCTGCTCAAGTAAGAGCCCCGTGCAGAGACCGAATCAGAGCATGGGTCTTGTTCCCCGATGTTCATACACAGTTCAGTGTGAAATATGCTGGTCATGGCTATTAATAAGGGATTGACATGAAAATTATCCCAAACAATTGCATGTTTCATTGTGTTAGACTATTTCGTAAATCTGTTCTTTTTCCCTTTCGAAGTCTTGACTTCGAGTCACCTTTGCTGAGTAACTGTATTAACTTGGCTATTTTTTTCTTTGCCATTGAAGACCATCTTAACAGCTTTTCTCATCCATTTCTCAGTTGCCTCACAGTGTAAAGTCAGAAATGTTGTCAACTCTGTAGTTAGGGAAGCAAATGGCTGTGTTGTCCTGTTGACCCATTTCCTTTGTGTTATCTTCTGCACCATGGAAAACTTTTATGTGATTTTAGTTGGGGAAAGAACATGTGTATGTCTGAGCTACATTTACAGGGTCAAAAAAAAAAAACTGTGGGTTATTGAATGTTTTGAAATATACCTTTCTTAGAAATGTTTTTTAGCTTTGTGGCATTAGACAAGATAACTTAGCTCTCAGGATTTGTGTGTGGCATAGTAAACGCACCTACTTCAGAGTTTCATGAAGAATAAATGGTAGTTAAATCTAATTTATTCAACTCTTCCTGTGTACTTGGAATTGTGGCAGATACCACCAATAGAGAACAGCAAAGTTCCTGTGTGTGTGTAGGAACACATATATCAGTGTATGTACTCATGAATATGAATGCATGCAAGCAAATGGGGGCCAAAGGTCAACAGAGTATCTTCCTCAATCATTTTCCACGATTCTTTGAAATAGGGTCTCTCGCTGAACCCCAAGATATTCCTGTCTCACCTTCCCCGGTGCTGGGATTACAGGTGTATACCGCAGCACCTGGCTATCTATGGGGTGCTGAGGATCTGGACTCAAGGTCCCATGCTTCCATGGCAAACATCAACAATCAACAAGGTAGCATCTCTCTCTGCTTCCTGAGGGCAAATGCAATGTCATTAGCCACTGTTGGACCTGCAGCCATGGCTTTCCCACCATGATGAAGCGTCCCTCAGGCCCTAAGCAGGGAGAAAGCTTCAGTAGGTTTCGTTTGTCAGATATTTTGGCATGCAACAAGAAGAGTAACAGATGCAGCATATTCAGTTGGTCCGAGGGTGACCGCTTTTACACTGGTGCCAGGACAAAACACAGGAGCGCCGCATAAGAAAAATAACTTTGTTATTAAGCATATACAGTCATACAAAAGCACTTCATAGTATTACATCCATGACTGTTGGAATATCAGCTTGACTCTTATATGACTTGATATAAATAATGAGCAGAGATACTGAAGTATATGACCAGTCACCGGGAAATAAAAATAGACAAGCAAACCCCTCAGGGAACAAGCTCTGGGAACTGGACAAAACATGCTGAGCTCCCTGAGGAATGGGGAGTCCAAACATCCTACTCCATGGTTTCTCTACGATGGTAACATTTGTAGGAGTATATAAAGCATGCTGTTTCAGCTTCAACAATTACAGCCCTTGGTTTGTTTGCTTTTTAATCCAAATAGAAAATTATTTTTGACATGTTGTGAAACGCACATGATTACTATGTCAGGAAACAACCCATGCATTTCCCTGAATGCATGACTAAGAACTTTAGAAGGCTCTATTCTGCTAATTGTTTGGCTCAGATCCCAGCAAATAACTTTCTCTTTTAGAACAGTTGCCTAGAAGATAATTTTGCTCTCAAAAGGTGGCTGCTCAACTGTCTCCGTGAGGCAGTCTGAATAAGGCAAAAGGAGAGAAATGGTGCTCCAAATAAGACAGGGGGTTGCTTCCTGAGACCTCAAGGTGAAGTATGATGCCTGGTCATGAAGAAGCTCTATCCCAACATCTTGGTAGTGACACTCCCAAGGCCAAGATTGTTCAGAACCTTGGAAAGGGAACCTGGGTGCTCTGTACCTGGTCTTTGGTGCGGGCACTACTCTTTTCCCTCCAAGGTCAGTGGATGCTTATTATTTACCTGTTGGACAAAGGACTTTACACAGCAATATGACTTCAGTTAATTCTGTAGCAAGTACTGGAAAGTAACATAGAAAGCAAGAAAAGGCAGCATCTGCCTTGTACCCACTCCTTTAAAAAAAACATTTTGTTTTAAATCACCTGTGTGTGTGTGTGTGTGTTTGCCTATGAGCACAGGTGCCATGGAAGCCAGAAGACAGCATCAGATCACCTGGAACTGGGGTTACAAGCGTTTGTAAGGTACCTGACATAGGAGCTGGAAACTGAACTCTGCTCCTCTAGAAGAGCAGCAAGCATCCTTAACTTCTGAGCCACCTCTCCAATCCCCTCCTAATTATTATTATTTATTATTATTATCATCATTATTATTTTGAGATAGGTTCTCATATAGCCCAGGCTGGCCTCAAACTTGTTATGTAGCTGAGGTTGACCCTGAACTCCTGACCTGCCTCTCCCTGTTTCTCCGGTGCTGGGATTACAGATGTACACCAGTACACCTGGCTCCTAACACTTATTTGGCACAGGAAAGCTGATTATCTTTCCCTCTGGAAAATATGAATCCGGAACTGGGAAATTCAGTTTTCCTGAACTAAAAATGCATGTCTTCCTTACTTTATTTTCAGTGAATTTTTATTCTCATTGTTTTATAAATGCAGAGGCAATTTATAACCAAGTCTTAGTTGTAGAGATATTAGAAAAATGAACATTTCTATTATAGGGTTGAAGAAGGTATAAAAAAACCAAAACATTTTCCCCATGAGACAGGAAGTGACTCAGTCAATCTGTTTTGAACTATCCTTCCCATGGGATTTTGAGCAGAAGTTTGTTTAGATGGTAAAGCTTTGATTTTTCTATCCACAACTGAAAGATATGTGAGCAACAATGCCTTATCACTAAAAAACTATAATTTGGACAAGTAGAGGACATACTTTGGTCGTATAGTTAGTTAGCAGTCCAAGTTTTGAAAATCTGAGGAGTAATGATTATCTAAATTGACAATGCTCTGGCAGATTGAGGTTACAAAACACTATTTTGTTTTTTGTATTTGTATTTTGCTATTGTATGTTTTCCTGGAGATATTATCTGGAACAGACTTGCGAATCCCAGATATTATGACTTTCACTTCATTCCTTTAATACATTGGCTTGGCCTCCAGCCAAGCGTGGAGTATGCGTGCATTTTGCCAGCATTTGGCAATAAAGGCTATGTTTCTACACACACATTTCACTGCCTAGGAAAAGTAGACATAAAAAGTAGTTATAAAATTCCTCATTAAAAAGATGGACATAATCATTGCTCACAGAGCCTATGCATAGTTTTGAGAATTCATCCATCCACACCCTTTAGGTGGTGGGTTCTATAAACAGGCAGGCACTAAATAGATTCCAGATGGGACCTGACTGTGGTTGCATCTGTCTCCTCAGGAACCCATGGTGGCAAGGCCATCTGTAGTGATGCTCAGGCTCTGAGGGGGAAGGGGGAAGAGACAGCAAGCAAGCAGGGCAAGTGTGTGTTTGTCTTCATTGTGAACTGCTGGTGGATAGCCACTGGGGGATTTGGCAAGACTGGGTGGGAATCCTGCCTCTCTAACAGGATAGGAAGACAGGCAGGCAGGGAGAAAGAGAGGGAGAGAGGGGGGGAGAGAGGGAAGGAAAGAAGAAAGGAAAAGGAAGAAAGAGGGAATTGAAGGGAGAGTGGAGAGAGAGATGAAGGGAGGGAAGGAAGGAAAGGAGAGAACAGAAAGAAAGGGAGAGAAGCAGGGAAAGGGATCGAGGGAAGAAGGAAGCAGAGAAGGGACAAAAGAAAAGAAAAAAGGAGAGAAAAGAGAAGGAAGGGAAGAGAGGCAGGAAAGAAGGATGAGGGGAAGCAAAACAGGGGAGAGAAAGCGAAACACCACTGGGCTCCTGAGCTCCCGAGACAGAGCCCCTTCTCATTGCTCCTGAGCTCCCGAGACAGAGCCCCTTCTCATTGCTCAGGAAAAAATGGACAGTGCAGTGCAGTGTCATGCAAACCAAATATCCGGCTTCTTCCAACAAGTTGTCACAGTATGGATGGGGAGATGATGGAGTCTAAAAGGATATAGGGAAAAGATAAACACAAACCTCTTAGCAATACAACGGGGCCCTGCGGGATAGCCAACAGAGACCCTGGTGTGGGCGATCATGTGAGCAAGATCCCCTGGGAAGCTCAAGAGAAAGACTGAGGCAGTCAAAAAATGCAAAGGAGCAAGCTGCATGCCCAGGGAAAGGGTGCTCACTAAGGAACAAGAGACCCCAAAGACACCAAGAAGGAACCTGGCCTCTTGCTCACTTCTGGGAACTTGAGTCCCTGGGGAACTAGAAGTACACCAAGAAAAGACTCAGGCAGGCATGGGATGTGTGCTTTCCTCACAGGAGAACAAGGTTAAGGAGACCTACAACAACAGGGACTTTAACTAACTCAGGGAAAAACAGTGGAAAATTATGCCAAGTTAGAAGCAAATCCCCCTCCTCTTCTATCTCAGAGACCTGTGCTCTGTTTATTGTTCGAAGCGTGCTGGTAAGCTAGGCTGGCTCTGATAAGAACTTCAAATGTCTTAGAGCAGATTAGTCAGCTGCTGGTGATCTAGCTTTAAGTGAAGTCTTTTCTCCTTTTCTCCTTGGCCAAGATTCCAGGCCAGCAGCTTTCCTTTAGCCTTGATTGAGAAGGATCAGAGCCTGACAGCACATCTGGCCACCTGGTCAGGGCCAGGGCATTTGGTACTTCTTTAAGGCCAGGCACCTTAGTTATCAAATCATCTGACATGTATGGAGCTCTTCTAACCAAAGTCTTCAAACTTCCTGGCCACCAGGAGCTCTCTGTTTTAGTGTACAGGGCCCTTAGAAAACATGATTCAGCCCCACAACCAAAGGAACTTCCGTCTCCAAGTAGGATTTGCATGAATCCTTTACTGTCATATTTAAAAATTTAAATTGTGGCAACCCTTATAACAGGAAATAAAAGGCTAATTCTTTATCTCTCCTAACACATTCTCACATCCTTTTTTATTCTCTTGTTTCTGCAACCAAATATATATATGTATATATAATATGCAAAATTTGAAATCTGTGAGGTTGATAAGGAAAACTCATCTTCTACCAACATCATTCTGCATTCTCCTCTCACCCCCAACTGAAGAGCCTTCCTCCTGACAGTAGAGAATGAATAGTGAAGTATTTCGAACACAAGTTTCTTTTTAGAAGGAACCTTATGCTTATAAGAATCCATTTTGACAGTTTCCCCCTTTTTGCACTAAGATTCCATGGGAGCAATTAACTCAGAAATCCAAAAGCTCTTGAAAAACCATGATGTCAAGGAAGGTTCTGATGAAAACCACCCATTGGCTCTTCCAAAACAGCACATTAACCCACCACGTCCTCCTGTAGCTAGTGTGATGTGCAGGATACTTGGAAAACAGGGCCTGGAAGCAGCAAGGACAAGGCAGAAAGACAGAAAAGACAAAGGCTTTAGGCCTCCAGTGGTATTTTTCTTTAGCTGCTATGACTGGCCGAAGGCATGCTTCTCTTCTGGTGGCACGAAGATACAGGATGTGCTATGGATAAAAGTTTCTTGGGGCCTCAGAGCCCCTCCCTTCAGTTCTTCTGGAGTACTCATCTCCGGACCCAAAGTCCAGAGTCTCTGGGTAGCTGGAAAATTCCTGAGGTAGGGGGAAGTCCTCTGTAGAAGAGTGAGTCCGGTACCCGAACACCTTGTCCTGAAGCTCGGCGATGTCATTTCGAATGTCAGCCAGCACAAGCAGCAGGAAGTCGAAAGATCCTGGGGGCCCCTGTGCACATGGGAGGAGTCAAAGCTGTGAGGTCATAGTTACTTGTCACAGCTGCAGCAGCCTGCCTAGTTCCTGTCACCCACGGGTCCCGCTGCTTGTGAGTGACTACCTTCTCACTCACTCTGTAGCCTAAATAGATTTAAGGACTACGTGAGCAGCCTGGGAACCCCAGGATTGTCCTACAACCCCTCTTCTCACACAGAACACTGGTGACATTCTCCTCCTTCCTCAGAGGAGTTTACAAAGAAATCTAGTAGTCAGAGTAGTGGTCAGGAAGTTAAGGTCCTGTTGGATTCGAACCAACCTCTTCCACGCAGTGTGACCATGGCGAATCCCACTGGGCTCATAGGTAGACTTAAGTGGAACGCAAAGGGCTTAGAAAGAACTGAGAGGGTCTAATGTTTTCTGTTCTTAAAAACCTAAATTATTAGTTGTTTATAAGATGGATCAACTAAATGAGACTGAGAGTATGCTCTTTCTTATTGTCTACAAAGTTCCAAATCAAACCTTCCTAATTCTGTTATTAGACGTTCTTTATCATGCATAATATTTGGTAAGTTTTAATTTTCATGCAGTGCTGTGGTGGAGCACGGCCCACAGGAAAAACTAAAAGCATTTAAGCACGCGTGTTCCGAGTTCATTAGGATTTTAAAGGTAAAAAATCATTACCACCATCCAAGATGGATGGCACTCAGCAACTTCTACCTCAGAAGCTGCAGGGGACACAACAACACACTCAGATGTAGCACTCTAATGTCATCTGGCCCTCACCGCACACACACACACAGGAGTGTGGAAAGTCATACTCCACTGTGTAGATGAGAAACAAGTGTCAAGAGATGTTAGGTAACAGTCTGAGGATAGAAAGCAAATCGGAGCAAGAGGCCAGGTGGCCACTCAGGCCTCTTGGTCCTTCAGAGCACACACCCACCTCTCCAGAAATGGCAGACTTGCTTGCATTCTCTCATATTTTAATCTCCTAGATATTGTACATACATACAGCAAATTTCTTCTTAAGCCCAGGGAGCCCTTTTGCTCTTTTATTGGAGAGAGTGGTTCATATGACCTGCTAGCATAGCAGTGGTTAAATTCTCAAGTGTTCTGGGTTATGACAACATACACATTTCTGTTCTAATGTGCTGTGTGTATTTTGGTTTGAATGAAAATTGCACACATAGACTCATATGTTTGAATACTTGGTCCCAAGTTGGTAGGGCTGTTTGGGAAAAGTTAGAACATGCGGTCTTATTGGAGGAGGTGCGTTGGTGGGGGCAAACTTTGAGGTTTCAGAAGTCCACAGCATTTCCATTTAGCTCTCTGCCTTGGGCATGTGGACCAGTTGTGAGTTCTCAGCTATTGCTTCAGTGGTGTGCCTTCCTACCTGCCTGCTGTCCCATTTCCTTCCATAGTGGTCATGGATTCTAGCCCTCTGAAACTATAGGCCAATGAAATGCTTCCTTTCCTAACTTGTTTTGGTTATGACATTTTAGCAATAGAAGATTAATTAAGTCAGAAACTGGCACCACGGGGTGGACTGTTGCTGGGACAGACCTGAATGTACTGTTTTCTGGAGGAATGTGGGAAAAACATATGGGATTTTAGAATAGGAAAGTTGAATGCTGCAGAACTTACTGGGATAGTCTAACAGGTCTTTGCTCCAGTTCAAGAGGTTTCAGAAAGTAACAATATTAGCAACCGAGGTAAGGGCCATTCTGTGCTATTTTAGCGAAGAATATGGCTGCTTTCTGCCTAAGGCAAAATTGAAAAAACAGTGGATTAATTTCTCTGGCAGGGGAGCTTTCAAGACAGCCCAGTATTGACTGTCACATGGTGATTAGTAATCAGTCTTGTGCAGTTTGCTACAGTGAAGACGAGCAAGCAGGGCAAAAGGGAAATGAAAAATGTACAGTTTGAAAAGAAAAATGAACATCAGGAAATTGGATGCTAAAACCATGGTTTATAATGAAGGAGGTAAGGAGAGTCCTGATGCAAAATGGAATACAGGGAGTAGTATCCTCAGGGCAAGACCCCACCCAGCTAATCCTACAATTTGTGAAAGGAAAAGACCTTGTTCTGGGGTTGGAGAGCTGCCTGAGAGGTTAAGAGCACTGACTGCTCTTCCAAGGAACCCAGGTTCAAATCCTAGCACCCACATAGCCTCTCACAACTGTCTGTGACTCCAGTTCCAGGGGATTGACACCCTCACACAGACGTACGTGCAGGAAAAACACCAATATACAGTAAATTAAATTAAATTAAATTTTAAAAAAGGAGAGCTGCTGAGGCCAAACGTAGAGCTGGGGAGTCCTTGCATGGAGGTCCTGAGAAGCCATTGCATAAAGCTGTGAAAATGAAGCCTGGATTATGTTGGAAACTGCAGGATGTTGGAGGTTTCAAAACTGTGGAATGTCTACCAGGAAGAGTTGCATACAGGAAGTTGAAACAGCCTGAGAGAAAAGTGTGCTGCAGTCAACAAAACTGGAAGGGTAGAACCATCTAAGCCTTTGACAGGCTACAGGATTTGATATTTGCTCTTCTGGGTTTCCATCCTGCATTGGCCCAGTATTTCCTCACTCTGCACCCATTCTTCCCTTTTAGAATGGTAATGTATATTCTGTGCCATTATATGTTGAGACCATGTAATTTTTTATTTTTTATTTTACAGAGGGTTACAAATAAGAGATTGTTTCGCATCTCAGAAGACTTTGAACCTTTAAATTGTGAGAAACTATGGGGGGACTTTTGAAGTCATGCTAATTGCAGTTCGAATTAAGAGTTGGCCACAAGCCCAAGCGTGCCAAGGAGTGGGATGTAGTGGTTTAAATGTGAATGACCCTCAAATAGTCATTCATTTGAACACTTGATTCTCAACTGGTGGAATTATTTGGGAAGGATTAAGAGGTGTGGTCTTACTGGAAGAGGTGTGCCACTGGAGACAAGCTTTGAGGTTTTAAAAGCTGATCCCATTCCCAATTAGCTTTTTGCCTCATGCTAGTGAATCAAGATGGAAATTCCTTCAGCACCATGCCTGCCTGCCTGCCCAGGGGTGTGTGAGGGCCAGAAGCCAAGCTTGGTTGACATTCTTTGGGAACTGTCCCTTCTGTATTTTTTTTGCTTGTTTGTTTGTTTTTAGAAAGAATCTATTCCTAGCCTAGAAATGTTGGTTCTGTTAGGTTGGCTGGCCGGCAAGACCCAGGGATCTATCTTTCTCTGCCTCCTTAGAGCTGAGATTGTGAGTGGCCTCTTTTAGCAGTGGCTTTTCCGCATGGGGGCTGAACTCAGGCCCCTTGCCTGTATGTCCTGACCTATACTGACTAAGCCATATCCTCAGCCCTTCTTTCCAACATCTTACGATGCATTTGGAAATGGGTTCCTGGCATAGCAGGCTGCCGAGGAGATAGTTCACATAAACATTATCTGAGGTAAAAGAAAAAGTGACAGCAGAAAACAAATTTAAAAAACCCAAACTAGTTGCTTATGGTTGTCTACAACTTTCCTCCTAACCACGGACCTGATGGGCTAAGTGCCAGCATAGGAGGGTGAGCCTCTGCCAACAAGACCCACTCATAAATTCTTAAAACATGTTTAAAGTTTTTTTGTTTGTTTGTTTGGGGACATGTATAGCACTCCTATGGATGTCAGAGGACAATTTGTGGGAGTCAGTTCTCTTCTTCCACCGTTTGGGTCCTAGAAATTGAACTCAGGTCATCAGGCTTGGTGATAGTGCCTTTACCCACTGATCCATCTAAGCAGACCCACCCTACCATTTTATGAATGCCTGAGAGACACATCTACTGGGCAAGCAGGACAGACAGTGTGACTCACCGGTGACCCTGGGGGCCCAGGTGCTCCTCTCTCCCCCTAAAACCAAAAGGCGAGCGTTAGCATTCTGGAGCATGCAGATGTAAGGACCTCAGTCTCCGCTTAGACACCCACCAGCCACAACCACCCTCCTGCAGGAAAAAAGCATTTTCTATACAAAGTAAACTCGGCATCAAAGCTGGGCTGGGGGGACTTCTTATCAGAACTGGCAAGCTTGGGTCGAGTGCCTCAGCTGCTGAGTTCTCACAAGATTATACATTTTCAAACCAGAGCTGATAAGGAATCTTGCATTTCTAAGCAGTGTGTGAGGCACCAACTTTTCTGAAGTAAGCGATACTGGCAGCAGTCAACTTCCTACAGGGAAGCCGCCACTAGTATAGAATGAGTGAGCGTGTGCTTCTCCCCTTAAACAAGTGAGGCCAATCTAAAAAAAACACATAGATTAGTGAGAAACCCAATTGTGATCATTACTACACAGAGGCTTAATTTACAACATCCAGTTCAGAATTCCTGTTCCCACACAATGTTACATGTGCTCCAAAAGTTTAGGATTTTCAAGTGTTATAGATTGTGAGGTTTGCTACTCTCAACCTATGTATCTGTGTTTCAACTTTGCTACATGCAACATAGGGAAGGGAGGTAGGGTGTGCTGAGCTTCACTGGATGACCAGCAGTGGGGAGAAACAGCCCTGCAACTGTTAAGGACCAAGTATAAGACTCACCTTGGAGCCATGTCTTCCTGGTGCTCCTGGTGGGCCCTAGAAGACACAAGCATCTGATGATTTAAGTGAAAACAAAACAAAAGCAGGACAAGAACACAAATCCAATATTACATGGATCTTAGAGAAGACACTGACCACAGGGCCCCTCCGGCCTTGCTTAATGTGAGACAGGTCAGGGGATGGTCCCATAGGTCCCATTGAGCCCCGTGGGCCAGGCTGTCCAGGAGGGCCTGGCATACCGGGAAATCCAGGGCTGCCCTTGGGTCCTGGTGAGCCTGTAATCAAGAACATATTAGCACTTACTCCACAACCACAGCATCTCAAAGTAATTGTAGAGATTTCCATTAACTCTGCTCTTTGTTTGTGGTATTTCTATTAATGTGCCTATGGGGATTTAAACTCAACACAATGAAAAGTGACTTCACCTTTCTCTCTTTTCTTGGACCCTCTGTCACCCATCTGCTCAAATGGGAAACTTGAGAGTCTTCCTACAGTAGATCGAGAGTTCCACAATCTTCCTACTCAGTGATCCACATGCTCTACTCCTTTAAGCATGTCCTGCTTTCTGCCTCTCTCTACCCCTGGACCACAGCAGCATGTAACGTTATCTAGAGAATGCTTAACAGTCTCACAGTGGGGTTGGGGACATGGCTCAAAGTGCTTTCTGTGTGAGAATGAAAACCCTAGTTCATAGTTCATAGTACCCATGTAGAAGTTGGTGCGGTGGTGTGTATCTGTAAACCCAGAGGGCGAGTGAGTTGATAGAGGAAGATTCAAAGGGCTTTCTCATCAGCCAGTTCCTCTGAAATGTGAAATGATGACAGTGATATAAAAGGACACCAAAATATTGCCCTCTAGCCAACACACATACACATGCATTCACATGCACACATCAGCACATATATACACACATACAACACACACACAAACACAAACACCAGTAGTAGAAGTTTTGCCATCAGAGAGTTCTACATTTGAATATCTGACAATTTTCTTAAGCTCCGTGAACCTTAGTCTTTTATCTCCAAATCTAAATAAAACTCCAATATACCATGGTTGTATTAGATAAAATTTTAGATACATACACATACTCCATGGACTAGTACGTCACACACAGTAAGCACTAAACATGTGCTAAGCTTCCCCTTTCTTATGTTTCCTTAACTCTTGCCTCATAGCTGGTACCTTCTGTCTCCTGCCAATATTGGTTACACCTCACCAATTCTTTGCAGCTCTATTGAGTGTTTCTTAGTTATACAGCTGTAGTAGGGTGTATGTTTTTCTTCACAACCCCAAGCTCCCAGGATAATGATTCATGAGACTCAAAATATATTTACAAATACCTAGGCCATATCATTAGGCTCTTCTCCGATATACAAAATAATGCATTATAATAATCTACATTCGGCCACATGGCTGCTTACCATTGCTCAGGTACCATGCGTCTGTCCTCCTCACATTTTTTTTCAGATGAACATCCTACACCTGACTCTATCTCAGAATCCTTTCTGCTTGCTGGATGTTGCACCTTCTGTTCTACCCTCTCCTATAGGCCATAGATTTTTTTTTCTTTAATTGACAGGCAATGCATCCATACAATACACAAGATATTCTTTCTACATAGAACTTTCCTACTTTTAGCCATTACTCTAAACACCTCAGTCCCCCAAGATAAGAAGCATAGGCTCTTTCCTGTTGGCATTATATATTCCCATTTTTTTGTGTGAGAAGGATAGGAAATGCTGTTTTTTTTTCATAGTTTGCTAGGGATGAACATGAAGATGAGGTCTTACTTGTTCAAGGCCTGGAAACACAGGACAAAGAAAAGTGAAACTGCCTCTATACCCACAACTCTAACATGAAATATAAAGTAAAAGGAACTTATTATTGAGGAGAGGACAACAGTGTAGAGAGTTGTGTAGGAATTGCAGAAAGACAAGAGTGGAATACAAACAGAGAAACCCCACTAATACGGACTCAGCAAAAAGGAACAGCATCCTACCACTTGAGGGATTTGAATATTGGAAGACGGCAAAGCACTGAAGGTAAATATAGTGACAACAAAGCCCCAAACTAACTCAGCTAACTACTCATTAGGATGACTCAACTTTTTGTTACAGGCCTGAAAAGAAGAAGAAGGGGCCTGTCTCAAAGAGTAATTACCAAGTCTCTTGGAAACTAGTGTTTATTTAAAAATGATGTGCAGCGTTCGATAAAAATTTTTTGACACACACAAATAAGCAAGAGCAAAATAAAGCAGCAGCTATCAAGTTATATAGCAGTCAGCAGAATTAGACTCTGAGGCGACTCAGGAGTGAAGCAGACACTAGATTATGTCATATAGCTAGTTCTTAAATATGCCAATACTCTGTAAAGAGCCAAATTTGAAGAAGGAGGAAGCCCTGCAGTGGCTTCAGTTGCTTGAAGTTCAACCACACACTTGCTCATCCTCATCTTTCTGTCAAGGTACCCCTCACTCCTTGACTCCTGTCCTTCCCTAACAGTTGCACCACCCAGCCTTCTGCTCTTCTGCTTTGCTTCCACCCCAATAAAACACAACAGTTAAAAATTAACTGCCCACTGCATCTATTATGGTCATGTGAATATCTTATATGCAACTGTTGCCTCTCAATATTCCTGCTGTTTAAAAATTTTGAGACTTCATGCAAAGATCTGGGTTTCTGGCCATAGTTTGAAAACAGAAAGAACTAAATTTAGACTTGAGTTCTGTTGCTGGCACAATGATTGGAGCATCAGTGGGTGTTCTTTTAGGTAGAATCTATGCTCTGTTCCAGTTTAGATTCTCACACAGCCACATTCACTCACCTAGGCTACCTGTAGGGTTTCTGTAGACAGTAAGTTTGTTTTCTAAAGTTCTCTTTGAAGCTTGTATCAACAGAGCACTGGGAGTATTTAAGAACTAGCTGTATGACCATTTTGTACCTAACTGATGATAGCTGTTACCCAACTTTTTTCATATAATTTTATCATGGAGGTTGATTCAGAAGTCTGTGAGGGTTCCTCTCCTTTACAGAAAGAGTTATAAACAGCTACATTGGCTTGGCTAGAGCTTGCAATAAAGGAAGAGGCACCCCTGAACTGCCATTTAAGACATCCATGTAGGACACAGACTGTCACATGATGAGTCTCCAGGAAGCGCCTGTCTCCTTGAGGGCCACAAATGTTTAAGTTGAGGGGCTGAACTTTGGTGCAGACTACAGACTACTGAACATCAGCCAGGGAGGATGTGGGAAAAGGGTACATTGCAATTAGAGTACTTAAAAAAATACTGTGCACAAATTGCATAATACAAATGTTTTCATCTTAATTATTTGTAAATGTGCGGTTCACAAGTGTTGGATACCCTCACAAAGCTTTGCCTCAGGTCTCTAGAATGTTTTCATCACGAAAGACTACATTTTGTGGCCACTGAGAACTCTTCTCAAGTGCTGGCATTATAGGTGGGACCTCACATGCCTGGCTGTGTCTGCGTGCATTAAAAACTGGGTAGGTCTTACTCAGCCTAATGTCTCCAAGACTAGTCCACGTATCATCTCAAAAGGTAGGACAATAGTTTATTTGTATGTGTGTATATATCACATTTTGTCATTTTAGTCACCTACCAGAGAGTAAATGGGAAGCCTTTATCTATTGGCCACCTAACAGTGGTGCTGTCAACATGGGTATTTGAATGCTTCCCATTCTTTTGGAGGTGTATGTATATGTATATGCATATACACAGACATGGGATTGCTGGCCCATGTTCTGGTTTAAATATTTTAAAGTAACCTCACCTCTTTTCCATAGTGGCTATATTATTTTACACTTTACAGTTTTCCTATATTTTCTCTGTATTAGTTAGCTTTATTGTTGCTGTGACCAAGTAACCACTGGAAAAACCTAAGGAGGAGACTTAATTTGGCTCATAGTTTCAGAGTTATCAGCCCACCATGGTGGAGGGAACAAGACAGAGCTCACAATGTGGTGGGCAGGCAGCAGAGAAGCAGGGAGGGAAGTACCAGGGTCAAGAAAGATCCCAGGATATTGCTCCAGGGACTTGCTCCAAGTCTCATATCCCCAAATGATAATACCAGCAGAGGACCAAGCCCCAGCACATTATGGATTTGGGGAGGTATACTTTATAGCCACGCTCCAACACTGACAAACGCTTAACTTTCCCTTCCCATATTCTTCTGGTAGTGGATATAAGGTAACTATCTTTCTGTAGGTTTGGGTTTGCTTTCTTCTAATACTTTGTGATATTGAGTGATTTTCATGGTTTTGTTAGCCGTTCGCATATATTCTTTGAGGAAATGGCTTTTTATGTTACTTGCCCATCTTTTAATCAGTTTGACTTATTGCTGTTGGATTATTATATTTAAAGTATATTCTAGATGTTAACCCTTCATCAGGTAAATGGCTTCCAAAACTACCATTTGACTTCTTTCACTGTTTCATTTATACACGTTAAGTTTGACATAATTTCACTTTTATGTGTTCTTACTTTGGAAAACGTGTCTAAGAAATCACTGAAAAATCCATGGTCATGGCATTTTTGACTTCAGTGTTTTACATTTAGGTCTTTAATCCATTTTGAGTTAACTTCTTCTGCTCGGTGGAAAGCCAGGGTCATTACCCTTCATGTGAGACAGCAGCAAGCTTGAAGCCCTGTGAGAACACAGGCTGTGTCTTATTCATCTCCCAGACAGGGGCACGTCAGGCCGTTCATAAGGGTTTCTTGTTAATGACTGCACTGGAGAGTCTGGGTCGATTGCTGTGCCACACTGTCTCCTCTGAGCTGACTTTTCATTTGTTACTAGCTTTAGCCAACAGAACACAGTGCCAGCACAGAATAATTCTAGGCTCTGGAAAACAAAACGAAGAACCAAAGACCCTAGGCTTTTCATATTTGGAGAAGTCATTTCTGCTTTATAGAATAACTAAGACAAAGTTGTGGGCAGTCAATGCTCCTTTCAAACATGTCTCATGTCCCAATTCTCAACACCCATTCTAGGTACATTTCAAAAGTCTTTATTTGGGAAGGGGGATAGATCACTTCTGTAACTATTCTGTCTGACAGAAGAAAGACAAGCTAGAGGTGAGGTGTCAACTGCAGTTACCCAATCAGTAAACATCAGAGGTCAATGTGTATCAAGTGCCTTTAAAATGTAGGACCTTGACATGAAAATGGAAAGGGAGAACCTCATGAGCTCTCTAGACACCATAATACATCTTATAGGAAAGTGATCCAAATCTAGAAATGAATGAGAATTCATAGGCCCATTCATCTTCAATCTTCAATCATGGTATTTCCCTCAAGGACCCTGGACAGCTCAAACCATGCTAGAAACCAGAAAGAAGAACTGGAAGGTAAACTAGTTAGCCATTTATTAAGAAAACCAACATGCAATGGCTCCCTGTTCCTGTAGCTGTCCTTGCTCTAGCAACATGTAGACTCACCCAGAGATGCAAAGGAAAAGTACTCACTTATAGAGGGGCTGGGGCCACCATGCTAGGAATCAGTTTGTAAGGAGAGAGCTCCTGCCTACTTAGATGAAACAAGAGGACACCAGTATGAAGTGTGAGCCTGAGAAAACTGCCATGATGCAAAGACTGTACAGATCATGTTTGAACAAGAAAATAAACCAAATCCCTGGGTCAGTTCTTCTGTGTAGACTGAGCCGCAGGCCAGTAATGGAGACCAGGGGATTAAGACACAAGTAGACAGAAAGCACTCAATTTTTTGGAAAGAACCCGGAGTCTTGCTCCCTACTGATCTTTTGATAAAAAGCTTGGCCATGCCCCTCTTGTTCTGATACATAGCCTATCTTCCTTGATTAGTTCATTCCCCCAATACTCACTTCAGACTACAAGCTATATGCTATCTCCCTGCAGCCTTGATAAAAAGAAGCATTGATAAAAAGAGGGAGCTATATACTTTTCTTGGTTTTGTTTGCTGTTTGTTGTTCGAGACAGGATTTTACTCTTTAGCCCAGCCTGGCCTCAAACTTCCAGCAATTTCTGCCTCAGCCTCCTTAGTGCTGGGATTGTAGGTGTAAGCGTGGCTTACTTTCCCGCTGCGTGTAGTCATCATATGTGTTCACTCTTCTCAGCCAGAACATCAGAGTTTAGGTCCCGCACAATGCTGAATTGAAAACCAGGGATAAGACAGCTGTGGTTTAAAGTCACACACTAACACTAATGTCATTTCTTCGACCGATGCGAAAGACGCTGCTGATGTGTGTACGGAGAGGCTCACAATACAGTGTAAAACACCTCAGAACTTGAAGAAATAAACTCTCACTATATCTTTCCCAGTGAAAGGACAGGACATGTGGGCTCTTCTAATTAAGTGTGGGTGGATCTCTGAAACTGAAGGCTGATAGAAAGAAGCCAGTCCTCTGAGATGCGGTTCTAGAGTGGGGGACGTCTTGGGAAAGGAAAGCAGTTCGTGGCTACCTAGAGCTGGTATGGGGAGAACATTGGTGGTGTACCTCTCTCAAGGGAACTTTCTGGAAGGTGGAGACTTCCTGTGTTGTGAGGTGTAAGTTACATGGGAGTCTGTACTTGTCAAAACGCGAACTCAACCTTGGAGTGGCCTACTTGCATTGAGCCACACCTCAAGAAATCCCACTTACTTACAATATGATAGGAGTAAGACTATAGCTGATAATGCAGTAAGCAATAAGAGAAGACAGGATGAACCGGGGAGAGTGGTGATGGCTCTGGCTGCGATTCAGAAGAACTGAATAATCTTGAGTCTATTACTCTGTTAAAGTTTTCAATCAGTGTCTTCACAGTGCTTCTCACTAACTTAAAGGAATTGTTTTCGAGATAGACTCTTACCATGTAGCCTAGGCTAGTCTCTAGCTCATGATCCTCCTTCCACTGACTCCTGAATACTGGGATCCCAGGTGTGTAGTACCATGCTCAGCTTTAAAAATAATCATTACAGTCTTATCCAATCCCAGGAGATTCACCTTTTTCTTTCCAAGCTATAGGACCCAACTCCCCATAGCCTCTCACCGTATAGGTAATGCTGCCCAGCACATCCACTGTTACCTGTGAGAACAGTGTCCAACCTTTCACTGTGAACTCTCAGCCAGCCTATGTTCTAGTGGGTGGAGAGGGCAGAAATCCTACCATCTTCTTAGGCTCCTTTTTCATACTCACCAGGCGGGCCCTGCCCCCCAGGCAGGCCAGGAGGTCCTGTAAGGTAGGTGTTTGAAGCCAGCACCTTGTCACCATTGACATACTTGCCCAGTTCAGCAGCATTGTTGGGAAGCAGAGAGATCTATAAAGACAAGGCAGACCTGGGTCAGAAAGCCAGGGTAGCTCCATGAGAAAGTAGAGTCATCTGTAAAGGTTGCAAGGCCTCTTAACTGTAGGTAGCCAAGGAGTTGTCCAGTGCAAACTTTTTGAGTTGTCTAATGAGTCAGTGGTTGAAACCAGGTATATTTAGGGTTGCAGGGACATCCATAGAGCTCAGTTCCCCTGACTAATAAAGCATACTAGCTTTGGACTTCTAATCTTTGAAGAAATACTTTATAAATCAACACATATCATTAAATACCAGGACCCATGCTTTTGTTTATGGATTCAGTGGTGACCAAGACATGGCCCCTTTCCTTAAAGAATGTTCAGTTCTGGGAACCAGGAACAGGATTGTGGGTGACTGTTCAGACATACATTCAGGGCCAACCTTCAGAACAGACAGATAGTAGAAACTTTGGTGGCTTTCTAAAAACAAAACAAAACAGAAAAAAACCGACTGTATTTGTTCTATATTCACTCATAAAACCCTGTTATTCATTCCTCCTCATCTCCGTCCTTCCTCCAGTCTACCTTCTGTGTTCATGTCACACGCACGTGCATGCACTAATGAAGACCTTTATGTATCAATGTAAAATCTAAAAATCTGTGAACGGGAGAAAACATTTGTGCTGGTTAGTTTTTTGTCAACTTGACCGGCTCTGGTCATCTTGGCAACACTACCCTGTACAGGTGGTCCTGGGTCGTGTAAGAAAATCAAGTTGCTGAAGCCATGTGGACAAGCCAGTAAAGCAGTGTTTCTCCAGGACCCATTTTAGTTCCTGCCTGGAGGTTTCTGCCTGACTTCCCTTCATGATGGGCTTTGAGTTATACATAAACCAAATAAACCCCTTCTGCCCCAGGTTGCCTTTGGTCATGGTTTTTGTACAGCAATAGAAACCTACCTAAGATACCGTGCTTTTTTATTTTTTTTTGTCTGAGTCTAGCTAATTTCACCAAACATGTTGGTCTCTAGTTGTATTTATTTTCCTGGAAATTATATAATTATTCTTTGTGGTTAAATAAAGTTTCATGGTACATATGTACATTTTCTTTAAAAATTTTTATGACATGTATTTGTGTGTGAGTGAGTCTGAATGTACATGTGTTCGTGTGTGTGTGTCTGTGTGTGTATTCAGAATCCATATATGTGCGTGGTAAGAAAGTGAGCAAGGGTCACAGTGAGTGAGCATGCGTGGCTCTCATTTTTTCTCATTGCTCAACTGAAAGTTGAATGGTGGGTACTTCACCTGTCCCCAAACTCAATTTTCTCACCAAATCACTTTTTCTGACTCAAAGGAGGAGAAGGACGAGGAGGAGGAAGAGGAGGAAGAGGAGGAAGAGGAGAAGAAGCAGGAGAGGCACTGAAGTCTGAATGGACAAAACAAGTCGTCCCAAACAGGAAGTTTCACAAAACTAATATAAGCAGCTTAAAAAACAACTAAAGCAAGCACGCTAGTGAGCATTCAAGCAAACACATGGAACTCCCAGCCATGCCAGGTCCCCCTGAGTGCTCTGTGTCAGGCTCCTGCCTTCCTTCAAATGTAACCGCTGTCCTGACTATACAATATTTTGCGCGGTAAACAAGCAATTCAGCACCCAGCAGCCCTTGCCTAAAGACTGGTCAACCTTGCTACAAAGGTTAACAATATTGGGAATTGTAGGTTCCTTATATTCTGCATGTTGCTGTTTTTTTTTTTTATTAATTACACTTTATTCATTTTGTATCCCCCCATAAACCCCTCCCTCCTCCCCTCCCGATCCCACCCTCCCTCCCCTTTCTGCATGCATGCCACTCCCCAAGTCCACTGATAGGGGAGGTTCTCCTCTTCTTTCTGATCTTAGTCTATCAGTTCTCATCAAAAGTGGCTGCATTGTCCTCTACTGTGGCCTGGTAAGGCTGCTCCCCCCTCAGGGGGAAGTGATCAACGAGCAGGCCAATCAGATTATGTCAGAGGCAGTCCCTCTTCCCATTACTATGTAACCCACTTGGACACTGAATTGCCATGGGCTACACCTGTGCAGGGGTTCCAGGTCATCTCCATGAATAGTCCTTGGTTGGAGTATGAGTCTCTGGGAAGTTCCCTGTGTTCAAATTATCTTGTTCTGTTGCTCTGCTTGTGGAGTTCGGCTTTCTTTTTCTAATTAATCCCTGGGTGAGCCCAGGGATTTGAGCTGGGACGTTTCCTGTGGCTAGAACTCTACCCACTGTATACTCATGGTGTAGTTCAATGTGTGCATACTATCTCATGACTGTTCTTCAGCACCCTCCACCCCCCATACCTGCTTCTTGGACAATGTTTATCTGGACAAATAAATGCCCCATGTTCTATGAAAAGAACAGATGGTATCAGCAGTAGCAAGTGGATGCTAGAAGCAAATGCTGATCTACAGGAGAGGGCCTGGATTTTAGGTCTGCCCTCTTGAGCATGCACTGAACTCTGGGAATGCTAGCATGCTTCTCACAAGGCTATGGTGATGGTTAAGAGAGAATTTGTATATAAAACCACTTCACATACCACAGGAAGCTATAGAGGAGGTCCCATTTTTAGCCTTCAGCTGAATATGGTGACTCATACTGTGATCCTAGCACTTGGGAGGTGGAGGCAGGAAGTTCATCCTCTACTACATAGCTAGTTCAAGGCCAGCTTGGGTTACTGATGACATCCATCTGAAAGAAGGGAAGAGGAAGAAGAAAGGGAAGGGAGGATAAGAATAAAAGAAAAGAAATGGAAGAGGAAAGAACAGGAAAGGGAGGAAAAGAAAAGAAGAAAAGAATCAGGGATAGGGAGAAGGGTCAGTGGGCAAAGCGCTTGCCTTAGCTTGGATCCTCAGTTCCCATGTAAATCTAGGGCACGGAAGCATACATTATAGCCATGCAGTAGGGTGATGGAGACAGTCAGATCCCAGGGACTTGCTAGCCAGCCAGTCTAGCTGAACTTGCAAGCTCCAGGGTCAGCAAGAGACCCTGTCTCAAAATATAAGTTGGAGAACGATGCAGGCAGACAATTAACATTGACCTCTGGCCTGCACATAGGCACACAGACAGGTAAGCTACCCTCCACACACATGCAGGCACATGCCCTCCTGACCTCGCAGAATCACTTCTTACCGTGCCCCACGAATGCCAGCATTCATGCTTCAGGCATGGGGACAATGAGGCGCACGGTAGAGCAAGCTAATGAGAGTTAGTGAAGGACCGAGACAAACTCATGAGTCCTCAGAAGCATCAGTGAATCTATGAGGGTCACTTGTACCTCAGCATCAGTCATTCATCTTCTCAATATTTCTCAGCTTGCATGGATCACACAATATTGCAAGGAGATTAAGAGAAGGCCAGAGACAGCAACCAAGTTTGTATGAACAACTTGCAATATTGAGTACCTTAGAATCATTCCAGCTGGAAATAATTTAGGTAAGACCATAGGTTACTTCTGGCGGGGGCGGGGGGTAGTGAGGGCAGATTTGTACCTTGGGACCATAATCAACTGCTCCCCCAAGCCTGATGCTCTAGCTCATGAAAGGCTAGCTTAACACTTCTTCAAACCTTCTGGGTTTCCTCTAAAAATGCTAACAGCAGTTCAAGTGACACCTGGGGATAGCTGTCTGGGAAATAGTTCTTCCTTTCTCTTTCTTTATACCGGCACACGGACAAGGTTTTCTGCCTGCCTATGATATCACAGGCTCTTTATGATTAGGTTCATGTTTTATGCAGCTATATAACACACAGGTACACATGAGCCTCTGCTGAAGTCGATCCTGACCTCACCAGCCCATGCATCAGAAATGCTGCTTCCTTTTTCAGCCTGTTGTTTTGAAGTTTCCACTGGTAGCTGGGGTTCTCATTAGGGTGGCTGCCAGTTTTGTGGCCATGGAAAAGAGATAGCGTCTCATGTTTACCCTTTTGCCCTTTAGAATAACTGACTGCCAAAGTTAAACAGATTATACACACCACTTTGATCTCCCGAGAGCTTCGAGTAGAAGTGATTAAACAAACAAAACAGTAAGTTTATGTTTGGGCAGCTGAAGGACCATTTCAGAGCGGCTGACAAGCCAGCAAGTGCGCTGACCTCAGGTGTAATAAACACCAGCCCAGGACAGATATCCCAGAATTCAGACTGCTAGATCCATCATGAGGCCCCTCCACACAGCTGGATGACATTACTGGCGCCCTGGTACCCGTCTATCGGGTGGAGAGAAAGGGAGCTGTTTCTCACTCCTGATGACACAAGGCGCTCACAGAGGACCGCTTCCTCAGAGGCATATTTTTCCCCAGACCGTAAAGTTCACACGAGAAAATAAAGGCGTCACAGAATGACATCAGTTTGCAGAAGCTTTAAGAGAGAATGTTCTCGATGAATAAAACAGACAAACTGCCATGGAAAAGGTCCATCCAGGGCTGGGAATCTGTTCCTTCTACAAGAAACCCTGGCAGTGTTAGCTCTATTCTCTCGCAACCTTACACGTACCCATTGTCAGGCCTGCTATAGTAGCCCCTCCTCAGGTCCTTGCTCCGTGTTCTGCTGCTTTAGGTGCTCAGTACTGGAGTGGGGGGGAGCGTCCAGAATCCATATCTAGTTGGCATCAGTTGCAATGACTGTTCAACTAAAATGATCTGTCCTCTTACTCCCTCCTCCCCCCCAAACCTGGCGTGGACTTCACCCGCCCACCCCCACCAAGCCCAGTGTACCTTCTGCTTCAGCTGCAGCACCGTCTGCTTCATCTGGGAGAACTCCTTGCAGGTGGCACAGCAAGTCCCAGCTTTCACCTCCTTCTCAGACTTCTCCTCATGTCCTGGGAGAGGAGAGAGGCTTAGCTCCAGCCGGGAGGCTGTCGGGGCACGTGCCTGGAAAGCTGGCAGTAGGGGAGTCCCCTGGGCGTGGGATACAGAGAGGCTGACCGTGGAAGGGGCAAGGGGTAGGTGTTGGCAAATTTGTAGTTCTCGAGTTCTCAAGCTGACAGGGACGGCAAGACCCAGGGTCAGGGGAGGGGGTAGAGAGAGGGGCCCTGCTACTCTTTGGAGCCAGCTGTTCTTAGACATCCCAGATGTGTGAAAACACATGTTATGGTCCTTTTATTAGCAACTTTCACGTGTGGAAATGTGTGTACTTGTTAATGCCTTCTAGAGTGGGGTGGTTTTATAAGTCTGACATAATTTTACTGTTCTACAGAGGCTAAAGTTGACGTGTAGTACAGATTCTCACATGCATGCAGCAGCTCACACAACACTGCCTTTCCCCAGCTCTGACAGTGCGGTATTCAGGGTGAGCAGAGTCCAGCTGAGTGGAGCCCAACATGTTGAGTCTGGAAATGGCTTTGTAGAAGAGAAGACACGTTGACGATGATGACATGAGTCGTCATTCCATTGAACGCCATTTCTCTGTCCTTGGCTATCTACTAGACCCAGAGCCGAGTTGTCTTTTTCTGTAGGGGTTCTCCGTTCTCTATTGTGAGTGTACCTGAAGCTGGCTAAGGGTTCACCTCTCCGATACGAAGGGCACAGCTCAATCATATGCATGGAGCCGTCCATCTTTCTCAGCCACTGCCAGTGAACCCATCTGCCCTAGTTCTGTTCCTTGTCAGTGTGATAAAATGTCCTGACAAAAAGCAACACAGGGACTAAAGGGACTATTTTCACTCCAGATTCCAGGCTATAGACTGTCACGGTGGGGTAATCAAGGTGGCAGGAAGCAGAAGCAGCTAGTCACATGCAGTCAAGAGCAGAGAGAAATGAGTGCACAACTTTACACTCGGATCGCTTTCTCCTCTCTTATGCAGCCCAGGTCCCAAATCTGAAGAATTGCTGCTCCCACTTTTAGGTTGGGTTTTTCTTCAGTCATCAATCATCTCAGTTAACAAGCATCACAGTCAATGCACACCTCCTCCTCCCCTCCCATACATCCATAGACCAATCCAATTGAGAGAACTCCTCACTGAGAGTCTTCTCAGATGGTTCACAGTGTGTCAACGTGACCATTCACGCTCATCATTACTCCATCCCCTCTTCAGCTGTAGAGCCACAGACTGTGTGAGGGAGGTATTGTGAATGGGACATCGATGAAGGCTTCTGCTTCACAAGTCACACCTGACCTTGGTGTAAGGCCAGGCCATCAGTTGAGGACACACATACAGGAGTGAAAAGTCCATCTCTCTATTCCTATTTTCACATTCCCAGATGAATTTGCCAGGTGTTGGTGTGGTTGAGCAAACTGCATATTAGCATGACAGGATAAACCTACCTTGTTCCTTGGCTCTGAACTTCCAGCATATGGATCATGGAATGTTAGAACCGACACATCTTTAGTGTTCTTTTATAGATAAGAAAAAGAAAAAAAAAAAAGATGCATGTATGTGGGTGGGTAATTTGGTTACCCAGCATGCTGACGGCACACCACACAATTACAGGACCCATTTGGCCCTCTGGGGCATGGGGGAGGCACAAAAGGAGGCTGTTATTGGAGTTTCTGCTGAGAACATCCAGATGTGGTCAGACAGGTCCAGGAAGTCACTGTATATCTGAATAGGCCCTGAGCTCAATTTTTGCTGACTTTCCAGATTTTAAAGATGCAGTACTGTTGAGCAGCCACACGGGGGCATGGAGCTGTAACTTTTACGAGAGTTGGGTTAAACATGCTGAGCATTGGAAGTTGTAACTGTTTAGACACTGTGGTAACACTACCACCAAACACACTCAGAACTGCCCAAGACTGGCCTTCGCACGGGGAGTGCCGCAAGCAAACAAAGCATTTTAGTTTAAAAACGTGACTGTGCTGTTTCGAGAACTCAATCCTAGGATATCCCAGGACTGAGTTCACGGTTGAAAACTCCTTTGGAATCTATTTCCCCCTACCCACCTGGGGGTGGCAGTAAGGGACAGTATTGTTTTAACATTGCCTGTGTTAAGAACTCCCTAATCTATGTATTATCAGAGCTTGAAAGTTATTTGAAACACCTGGTGGTTTCTGAGTCTTTGAACTGTATTGATTGACACTCGGGTCATGGTAACTTTATTCGAAAATAAACACGTGCTGGAAAAGAAAGACCAGTAAAGCTAATCACGGCGGAGCCAACATTTCCTTCATTGTCTCCCCGTCGCGCTACACAGACTCCCCTTGTCTCAGCTGGCTCCAGCTCTGGGTTTTCAAAGATAAAAATCAAAGGGACTGAACACTGGTTTTTCATGTCAGATGGCTTGTATCACACAGCCAGGAGACAATCTTTCAAATCATTAGAGGTTGTCCTGGGGCTACACCCCCTCTATGCTGCTAGCCTTTCTTCTTCTTCTTCTTCTTCTTCTTCTTCTTCTTCTTCTTCTTCTT